CAATCGATTTTAACAAATTTACATGAAAATATACATCTTTTTTTACAAATAAAAAATAATTTATAGCAGTTTAAAATTACAAACTGCAACGTGAATTCAATATATAAAAATATATCGTTTTTTTGCGAATACTATAGCTGTATTCAAATTAAATAACACAATTTGAAAAATTCTAAAATTAGAATTTGCAAAAATTTAGCTAAAGAATATAAAAAACATTTTAAACATTTAACGCTTGGTTTGATTACAAAAAATTTTCCAAAAATGCTTTCTATTTAATATTAAAGTTTACTGCAGTAGACCTCAAAAATATACGGACAGTATTTAGTTTTAACCAAATTATTTGATTTTATTTTATACTTTGCAATAATATTTCAAACTACTCAAGAACTCTTTTTGATAAGAGTCGGCGATAAAAAAAATCACCGGATTTTCATAGTCGTGTCAAATATCCAATATTGTAAAATCCCTCTAACTTATTGCCACCATTTTTATTTAACCACGAAGCTATAAGTAGCTGCATCCGGCAAATGTTTAGAAATCGCATTTGTAATAGATATAAAAGTCTTTATTCCTGTATACCTTCATAATTGTAGTCATAATACAATATCGCTATATTTAAGAATCCTCAAAAACATTAATATAAAAAAAGGTTTTATTTTTTATCCAGACGATTTGTATGACGGACCGTACTACATTATAGTAAAACTGGCAGTAATCAATAATAAGTAATCATAGATCTGGTCAGAAGAAGACTACTTTTACAGCAAAAGTAGTTCGTAAAGGAGTGGCTAGCATCGCTGTCGCTGTGAAAAACAATTTTCCGCTTGTAGGAATGCGTAGAATCTTCCAATATCGTCTTCTCTGATCAATTATAATTTTTCTATTTGGGTTAATGAAAATATGAAATTTCCAATGTCTTACAAAAAGTTAAACACTAGCGTTTGTGATGGTTTGAACACCCATAAAAATAGCGTGACGCTCTCCGTCGGTTTTACTGCCGCATTCTCCAGCTTAATTTAATCCATTTCCATGAATATATATTTGTTCGGAAGGAATCACAAAAAACATGGATATATTAATAAGATTCTATATCATCGTGTAAACTACATACCAATCCATAACTTCGATTCTAACTCTCTACAGTCAGCAAATGTAAATCCATTCGCTGCTCTGTAAAAGATTCTACAACATACCGGAATGTTGATGCATTCAAGCTTTTCTTCATTAATGAATAAAAATTTTAAAGCTTACCTTTATATAGTGTGTCACCTACATCTCAATGGAGTTAGATCCATTTAACCATAGTTCGCGCTAAAGACAGGCATAGAAAAGAATTTTATAATATTCTTTTTTCTTAGAATTCCAGGTCTTGATGAATCAATGCTTCCATAAGGTATGCGTATAGGCTATGGGAGGTGATGTGATACGGTGATAACCGCGACACTTTAATCACTTAACCATTTTTTTTCGATGAGATGCGAAGAATCTTTAGCCGCGTTATTAATTTGTTTAGGTACCATATCATCATTTCACTTCTTTGTCTGCATGGATCTAACATCTATCAATCGAATCTTGCAGTCTATATGCTATATAACTGGATTTTACCATTAAATTATATTAAATAAACTAAGTTTTGATATATTTATAAGACAGAAGAGTTCTTCAATAAATGTAAAGACTAGTTCTATTAAACGATAGATCTTACTAAATGTGGTAAAACCATTACCTCTATTATAAAACAGAGTGACATACTATAATTCACAGCATTTGTTGTGATTGGGTGCATTCTTTGAGTACTTTCACATCTCTCATTATAGTTAATTGTTTGAAGATGAATATTTGACTAACTAATAGCTATTTTTTATTGTATTTCAAATATATAATCTTTTATGCATTCTATATTTTATAATCTTTTAATTTGAAACTCATATAGGTAGTCCTATTTCATATTTTTCGAAAATAAAATAATTTGTATATATCCTGCAAATAATTTTTACACTATGATGTGATTGTTTATTTATTTTATTAATTAGTAAATATTCAAACAATGTACATTTTGTAAAACCAACTTTTACTAATTAAAATCATATTTCCTCTACATGTTTTCTCTGCACTTGTAACTGAAAACTCAATTAAATAGAAATATAATCTTCTTGTGTACCTCCTGGAATTCATTAAGAAAATGGATTTTTGAACTTAATGCATTAACAAATTACAATCTCGCAATGGTTTTGCAAATATGGCATTACATATATGAGCTCATTTAATCGTATTTAAGTAATAAATCTGTTGAGCCATTAAATCAACCAACCACGTACGAATATATTTAATACGATGTAAATTACTTTAAATAATTGAAAATGGATTATCAGTGAATAAAGGCACATGGTGTAGTATTTTAAGTAGATAAGTAGGCAATAAAATTGGTCTAGTAAAATAAGTCATCTACATATATTACAAATTATTTTTGAAATTTTTATAATTGCATTAATTAATTCCCAAATCTATATCATCAGGATTAAGGAATGCATTCTTATTTTGCGGTATAACTTGTCACTGGCGTTAGTCTTTATTTATGGTGCATCCACAATAAAATATTATTCCAATTATATATCTATAATCTGTAATGAAAACTGAGAAGACAATTAGAAATAGAGACTTTAAGCGGTAAACGCAATTCCAGTAAATTTTATACAGGGTGTGTACTGTATACGTTCTGAAAGTTCCAACTATAAGAAATTATAGAGAAGTACATAGAGACGGGTTTTATACAACTTAAACTGTTAAGCGTTTTTTACGTTTATATTATTTTACTTTGTCTTTTCTTTGGTAGCCTATACTAGATACATACTTTGCTATACTGTTTACTTTAGCTTTTTTGAGCAAGAATTCAGGTGAAGAAAATGGAGTAAGTATAGAGAAAACACCCAGTATAAAAGGTGATTAATATATACATAAATATAAACAAGAGAATTACATCGAACTTTTTCCTCAAAAAATTGATTGTTTCCCGAAATGTTTTACGAAGTTACATCATCTTTCTTCTTTGAATTGCGAATAATAGTTGAGTTTATGCTCAATTTTTATTAATTTAAGTTATATAAATTTATTTTAATTTAATTTAATTTGATTTAATTTAATTTAATTTAATTTAATTTAATTTATTTTATTTTATTTTATTTTATTTTATTTTATTTTATTTAATTCAATTTAATTTAATTTTATTTAATTTAATTTATATAAATTTATTTTTATTTATTTTTATTTATTTTAATTTATTTTTTAAATTTAATTTAATTTAATTTAATTTAATTCAATTTAATTTAATATAATTATAGTAGAGACCTTTTAGTCTATGGAAGTACGACCATTGAAATAATGAAACACATGGCTAAAATAGAGAGAATTCCTTCTAACCAAAGTTGCAAATAATGGAAATAAAGAGATACTAATATAATCCCAGTGAAAATGCCCAGATTAAGATATTCCACTATGAAAGTATATGAACTAATCAGCTCAGCGAATAGCATTAACATATATGTATGTGAAGGCTTACTCAAGCACCTTTCAAGAAATCAATTACTATGTTGGTAACTTGTGGATTCAACTGAAATAAAAGATAATTCTTGAATAACATTAAAAATATAAATATTTTTCTTTTTTAGTTTTTAATAAATTTAATTTCCAAACTCAACTCGCTGCGTAATGCTATACATTTTCTCTCTGTTCGTGATAATATCAAATGGAATTTCAATTAGGGCTACAAAATACTCTGGAGCAACAATTTGCAATAAAGGACAATAAAAGCTTTTAATTTTAGACATTTCCAATGTTAAAGTTTTATGAGTTTTACAACACGTACGCTGTGGCTGATACTGCTGCTGCTCCTGCTCCTGCAGGACAGCACTCTTACCAAGGAAATGTAATCGCAGCAGTAAGAAACCACGAAAAGTTACCACAAACACAACATCGGAATGGACGCCATATTGTTAAAAGAGTACATATTAAATTTCATTAAGACAAAAGACAGACAATAAAAGACCAAAAGTGGTAAAGAAAAGACAACAACAATAGAAAGTCGTTTTGTAACTTATGACAAAACCAAAATACAAGAGCCAAATAAAACTGAGAAAACTACAAGCAACCGAAAACAAAAACTATCTTACACAAAAGCAACTAAGCAGCGTTAGATACAAAAATACGGTTAAGTGCAATAAATATAAAAGAACTGATAAAAATAGATGCAGGACGAGTAGCTAACAAAGTTTTTATTATGACAGCAGTAGCTTTAGCTTCAGCATCACTTCACCATTTTACTTTCAGCGCTGTCAACATCGCACTGGGAGTCAAAATCAACAGCTGCAGGATCACGCTGTTCGTCCTGCTGATTCTACTCAGACTCCAGCTTCTTCCACTGCTGCTCCTTTTGTTTTTGTCAACTTTTTACTTAATAAGTGTCGTCTTTGGTGCAAATAGCTGTGCTTAGGGAAAATTGAATTTGCTCTATTATTCTCCTTTACGTTAAGATATTTTTTCTCATTGTACGCTTCCAACACTTCGCAATAGGGAAATAAAGTAATTTGTCACAAAATCCAATTTTCAAGTTTTTAATATTATTTTTGTATCCTCACTTAGACGACTTACTCTACGTTCTTTTTTATCATTTTTATCATTTTTAGCAGTTATTTTATATATTTTCTACTTTCAATTTTTTACCCTCTTCCGTTTTACAGGTTGCAATCGAACCTACTATGGAGATATCGGTTTGACATATTCATTAGAATTACATCGTCCAAAGCAGGATCGTGTTCCGTATGTTTGTGTGCTAACATTTACAGCAGCAGGTGGGCAACATGGTGACGTTGTACAGGTAAGTAAAGACCACAAACTTTTTTAATTAATGTCTTCGACTTCTAACAAATTCGTTAAAAAAAGTTACCCAGCACATTCTAATGATAAAAGTAAAGAATAATTGTTATTATTAATTATTTTTTAAACCTTTCACATTAGATTTATTATAATGTCACTGTTAATATAATTATAAGTTATTTCAATGCTATCCAAACTGTCTATAAAGTACTTCATCGAATTATATATACATTGGACTCATCTGTATTTTGAAAAAAAAAATTGGATATCCATTGAATAACCCTCTTCGCCATTAATCTTTCCTTTTCACTGAATGCATTTAAGTTTATGATTTGAGCCCATTAATACAACCTTTGATAAAAGCTGGAACAGTTCAAAGTTAACGACACATGATAGACAAAAATGAATAACCTGCTAACTACTCGTATTTATTTATAACTAAGATAAATTCTAACGCCAACTTTTATAGAACCTTCACATCTTCATAAGATGCAGAAGATTCTTACTATACATTTTGCTCTCCCCTGCGGATAAGACGTTAGAATATTCCCGTGGTAGGGCATGCCTGTCGTAAAGTCGACTAAAATCCTGGTACTATGGCAGGGTACTTGCAACACTCGATCGGTGATGTAAATCCGGTACTACGGAGGTTAGGTGCCCTCAGTTTCAGATGTCCAGGCCAAGTGAGGTTGGCAGTGTCGTAGTGGTTGTCGTTAATACCCAAACTTTCACAAGAAAAATTATTGCTATTCATTTATCATCATTTATCATCATCATCATAAAGATCAGCAGAGGAATTGGTACATCTCGCTCCTTAACAAAGAAGAAGTTTTGTCAAAAATACATCAATTCTTTGGTACCGGCGGGAATTCATTAGAATTTTTAATGGGGCGTTTATAATCTCATTATATTCATACATGTGTTTGTAGAGCACCGTGGTCTTAAGCCTAAATGGCAGATACCCACGCTAAACAGCACTGTTATTGCACATTTTGTTGGAAATCACTCTCTTTTCCTGTATTCTCAACTCACCAATTCTGCACATATCTAAGATTGATATCATTGTTTATACAATTTTAGCACGCTGATTCTAAAATTGTTAATTGTTAAAAAATTAATCAAATACAGTATATAATTTAAATAAAAAAAATATAAATCAAAATTTAAATTCAAATAAATGCAATGAGAAGAAACCATTGTTATTGCCCATTATGGTCAATATTCAGTAAATATCCAATTTTTCCGAAATATGCACCAACCTATATATGTAGTAGTATTATATCTGTATCTGCTCCTATTTGAGAGATATGCGCAACGCCAATTAATTTAGAACGGCAAACTTGGTTCAGACCTAAAGATAAAAGTAATTCCTACTTCAAATTTTGTTGGATTCCTTCAAAATTTTGTTAGATATAGAGATATTGACGTAGTTTTTATGTTAATACAATTCAGATAATTAACTTTTAAAAATTCAACTCAACTCTAATGTAGTCATTTGAAATTAAACAGATTTTATTGGAATGACAAGATTGAATCTGGATTTCAACTTTATCCGTTTTCGTGTTTTAATTCATAGAAGACTGTTTAATGTCAGCATACTACTATTCCATTGTTTTAGGAATTAAGTTGTTGAATTGATGAAAATAAACTTCTTTATTTCTTTCTTGATATTTAAAAAGCAAGCTTATCTTCGGTGAATTACAAATTTTATGGATATTTGTTTCCTTCCATATAGAAGAAGATGTCAGAAAGTAAAAATATATTATTTTTCATTACTTCTATAATATTAAATATTAGTATATATATAAATACTACAATCAATAGAAGCTGCCAGACTGTGAAGTTAAGATAACTCCTTAATAAAAATTGTATATGAAACAGATCAGTTACGCGTTATAATATGTATGTATATATACTTTACTCAATATTTGAGTGTTCTAACTGCACTATATGTAAGGTGCATAGATATTAACAGATATATTGATACGTTGATATTTTCACTTTTAAGTTGTGGGATTACTATTTTGTAATTATTTTTATGATAGGTAACCATATATATTTATTAGGTATATTGAATTTTGTAAGTAAAAGTAAAGAAAATTTTTCTGTCATATATGTTATATATGTTATCTTATAAAAATTATATTTACAAGAACGATTATATAGATTATTTAATGATCTATGAGTTATACAATTTTTATTGCATTTAGGTACTTCTTTAAACAAAATTTAAATATTGTACGATGTTAGATTTTTCCATTTATTAAAATATATACTAAAACTTCCAATTTCGAACAAAAAAATAAACAAATCGTAATAAAATTTTGACTTTCTTTTTATGAAATAAAAATATTTAAATAGCTGCGAAGTTTTAAATCTACTGTTAAAGAGTAAATAGCGCTCCGCAAACTTAAGTTCAATGTTGCTCTATTTAAACATTTATACTGATTTCGTCCATTTCTAACATCAACGCAAATCTTCACTTTAATCCAATCAGTCCTAAGTTTAAAAGTACTATTGACGAGTCTTCTTATATTTACACATTTTTACTGATTTTGAGTATTTCTAACCTTTAACCAAATCCTTATTTTCTTCCACCTCTCCCAAACTACAAAACATTCCTTAAAATATTTAAAGGAATTATCGTAAATTATTTAAAAGTTAACATATTTTTAATTTTGTGCCACAATTTTATGTTTATTTATTTTTCGCATATCAAATCCCACACTAAGTCATATATAATGACTAAAATAAATATTTTACAGTACAAATACACCTGCATTTGAAAAATGTATTTATATTTATTTTGTTATATATAATAACATACACGGGATACAAACCTATATACGTTTTTAAACGGAGCTCCACATAACAACTCATATCCTGTGAGCTTGTTTATTTCTATTGCATTTGAAGTGTATGAAATATCAACAAAATTTTTCATTTCGTTTTTCCATTTGTTCCATGCCTCAGGCACTTAATCACCTGCCATACAAAATATACAGAGTAATAACAGCAACAACAACAACAGGAACTAAATTGCTGTTAGCAATTTTCAGTATTGTTTACTTAAAGGTATTAAACTTTTTTCCACATGCTTAGTTTTAAATTGCAGTCGTCATTGACAAGGACAACCTCACAGAATTTTAGTAATTTTTCACGTGTGAAAAACATTTCACAAATTTCGAATTTAATTTATGTATTATTAAGAAATATTTGCCAAAGTAAAATACATAATAAATTAAAAACATTATATAAATAAATTCCATATAATACATACATAGAATAGTTAGTTACTTGAGACTTCCTTAAGACTATATAAAAAGTTATACAATTTTTGTATCGAAAATTTTATATGATAATAATAATAATAACAATAATATAATAATAAGAGATGTGACTCCTCGGGGACTGCCACCTTGACGTAGTGAGAAAGCTCAGTAGTTACGTAGAATCTTCGAGCGATCACGGCGGTAGCATGCTGCTGGTAGGGGCTCCCTTGCCGGTAAAGTCGAATGAGGAGTAATGAAGATAAGCGCAGTCCAAAAACCAAAGTTTATTGTTAATGATACTATTCAATATTATATTAATCTTAACTGGGTTTTAATATTGCACAAAATACAATATATATTCGATAAGTGTTAGAATTAAACTGTTTAATTTGATTATTGATATCGAACAATGCACTAGAATTAATAATCTTAATTCTGGAATTGTGAAACTAATTGTAAAAATTGAATAAAATTTAAAAATTATTTAAAACTTAAAAAATTATTTTATAAAACTATGTAAAATTTGAAATTATGTTTAGGACGATTTAAGTAATAAATAATAAAAAATTATAATAAATATGGTGCGATTTCGAAAAGTAATGCAGTACTCAAAGCAATGTTGCATGGTCAGCCAAATTTTAATAAATTAACTAAAATTTTTGTTGTTCTCTTTTCATTCCTATTTGAATATCAGAATTTGTGAGTTTTTATATAATATAACTCATAACTAATTCGGTAATCCCATATAAAAATTAAGCACATCGTAATGTACCACAAATAAAACGCGCTCAATATTAGTTTTACAGTTATATTAAGGCTAGCATGCTAGCTTTTCTTATGTTACTAGCGCTGCCATCTGAGTATCTAACTTTTCCAATACGCGGCACTGCCATAAATAAAATATATTGCGCACAATTTAAAAACTCTTGTTATTTATTTATCACATCCTTATTCATTAAGGCGATACTTATACCATAGCTATAATATTTAAATATTTTTTCAAGACAATATACATAAATAACATTTTTGTTGAATTTTTATTATAAGATTTATTATTATTAACTATTACATTAAATTTTGTTTACCACCAAAAAATCCTTTCAACAAATATGTTGATCGTGGGTCCTTACTTTTTCCTTAATTCATTACTTAAACAGAACATTTACCTCTACTATAACAATCCAAAAATATTTATTTAATAAAAGCATAATATTTAATATGTAAAATAATATCAGTTAAGACAAAATATTTACCAAAAAACTATTCCCGTTCCTTAAGCAACATATATAGGTCTTCACCAGCAGTCACGCCACTGAATATATTCGAATCTCCTTTTAAGCTAAGAAAAAGTCTTCCAAATTCAGCACTTAAAATTGTTGTAGAATTCTCAGGTGTGTGAACAACATGAATGGTACCGCATTTAACAGAATCATAATCACATTCATATGAACCACATACATTTATAGTTTTGGCTAATGTAAACCAAAACGTCTCTCCTAAGTGCACATAATGCTTCATGCAAGAGGCGACATTAAAAGTCATGGATATTCCTAATCGATTTGATTCACATGTAACACAAAAGGTATCTGGTGTTATTTCTTCAATTTCTTTTACTTGGAAAAAATCTTTAAACAACATTTTGACTACAATAGAAAACATGATTAATAACACATATGTTACATTCAAATAATATCAAATTACATATTTAAAGCAATAAGTTACAAATATT